TTAGGGGACGCGGGCGCGCCCCGACGGGGGTTCGAGGTCAGAGCCTTCGGTGCGCCGACCCGCTTCGCTCCAAGTGGCTGTGCGAGAGCCCCGCATGCCTCGCTCAGTCTCTCCCGGCCGCGTTGCTGGCCTTGATGGAGCCGGTCATGGAAGCAGTGCCTGCCCCGTGGTGTTAGCGTGTGGTTGCTACTGGTCCAGCGTGGCCCGGGGGCAGGCAAGATGGGCTTACCTACCTTTGTGGAGTCCTTGTAGCCGGGGATGGGGGCGCTCAGGGTCTGGGTCCGCGGGGGGCGGGGCTGCGCGGGCGGCCAGACCACCTGCCCCGGGCCCTCCCACCTTGGGGCTGGGGAGCGAGTTTCCGCAGGATGGGGTTACCTGATCTGGTCATCTCCAAGTTTACACCTTCACCTTTGACTTTACGGAAACCCAGGGTTGGATGGGGCGGGGGAGGGTCTTCAAAAATAATAATATTGTTAGTTCTTTGTTCCACACATGAGAAAACAGAAGCAAGAAATCCTCGACTCACCCTATTCTGGTAAACGAGACAGAACCTGGGATCTGGTGTCTCATCTCTACCATGTGGTTTCTTAAAGTTTTGCTTTCGGTGGAAAATGATGTTCTCCGGGTTTTCACAAACAGTAGAGAATGGGATTCTGATGCATTGTGGTTGTGGGGAACTTTAATGGTAACAATCTCTTGTTAATAGACTTTTTTCTCAAAGGCAATGCTGCACTGGGGAATTTTATGTTATATAGAAGATGTGACCTAAAGTGGATCGTATTCGAAGTAAAATCTTCATTTAGTCAGTAATATTTATTTGATGATTATTGGGCATTTTAACTAATGTTGACTTGTAGCTATTTCCTTTTATTATTTACAGCAAAGAAGGAACAAGGAACATATGTTAAGAGGCAAAACATTTATTGTTACCAAAAAAAGTCCAGATAGTATCCAGGTGAGGTCAAATTTATTTCTGTAGTATTATGTCAGAGCTCTCCAATAAAAATGTGAGCCACATCTGTAATTTTAAATTTTCTAGTAGCCACATTTAGAACGTTTTTTAAAAAGATAAAATGAAATTTAATAACATTTTATTTAAGCTAATGTATCCCCAGTATTATCATTTCAACTTGTAATAGTAAAAAACTACTGAGATATTATTTGCATTTTTAAAATATAACATCTTAAAATGTGGTATGTAGTTTACAATTTCAGCACATCTCAATTTGTACTGTCCACTTTTAAAGTACTCAGTAGCCACATGTGGCTACTGGCTACTTTTTTTGCATGATACAGCATTAGATCATCATTTTCTATGTAAATTAATTCACAATCTAAGGAAAAAAACAATTTTAAAGCAAAGTGTGTATACAGACCAGATGATTGACTTATGCTTTGCATCATAAAAAGTCAGTGTTTTTGTAATTTAGCAAGGCTCTTTTATTTTATGAGGGAGTTCTGCAGGGAAGGGGTAGTGGCCCTCCCAAATGCTTAAAGAATTGAGATTATCTGTTGTAGTCTTAATCCTCCATAGAAATATTTTTATAATATTTTGTTATAATAGTACATAGTTGTAGCAGAAACAAAAACCCATGAAGGTAGATGAAGCAGAAAGTAAAAAGGTCTTCTCTCACTCTCTAGAGATAACCACTAATAGCATCTTTCAGGCTCTTTGCCTTTAGGAATGATAAGGACCTGGCTGGAATCTGTATGTCTGCTACTACAGCTGTGTAACCTGAGGCAAGTTATTTGACCTCTTTGAGTCTGTTTGCTTATAATATTAAAATGGGATAATAATACATGATTCTTGAGGACTAAATGAGATTAAGTGTTAGTATTTTGTTAATGATCTCTCTGGCATTCCGTACCAAGATTTGGTTCTTGGAATACATTGTTCTACTGGTTTCCTTAATTTTCTTCCAACATCATTGCCATCCTTATGAGTCAAAAAAAATAAATAATAAAAGTCTTGCTTTCATCTGCACTTCTTTATATTAGGTACTTTATTGATATATTTTGCCTTTATGAATATTTGATACCTTTCCTTATGGGAGAGAGTGGTTAAAATTAGCAATTCTGCTAATTTTTAGAAGATAGAGCTGACAGGACTTGGTGATGGATTAGGTGTGGGATATAAAAGAAAGAATGGAGTTAAAGATGATCCTGAATGTTCCAGAGTAAAGGAGGCTAAAGAGACATGACAACTAAATATAATACAGTATAAAGGACATTATTAGACCAATTGATACTAAAGTATGGACAGTAGGCTTAAGTGGTATATCAAGGTCAATTTATGAATTTAATGCTATGTACTATGGTTATGTAAGAGAATGTTCCACTTTTTAGGAAATATTTAGGGATAGGGACGACCTTAATTTACCTTCAAGTGGCTCAAGTAAAAATTGTACATACCCCACTCATACACATATTCAGAGAGTGGAAATGTTAATGCATATGGGATAAAATGTTATCAATAGGCAGGTCTGGCTAAAGGGTAAACAATCTTAGACCTATTTTTATTTTTGCAATTTTGTATAAGTTTAGCATTGTTTCCAAATAAAGTTTTTAAAATAATTTTTAACTTTAATAACTTGCTTTATCTTAGAATACACATTATCTGTCAATTAATTTTCTTATTTCTTGGCAGTTGAGGGAAACTGCCAGGGGAGGGAGGGGCACACCTCATCAACAAAGGTACTTGCATAATGAACATTTGCATACCTAACCCTAAACTGTACCCCACATTTTTTAAATTAAAAAAAAGAATTTTAAGCCGGGCTTGGTGGCTCAGCCTGTAATCCCGCGCCTTTGGGAGGCTGAGGTGAGTGGATTGCCTGAGCCCACGGGTTCGAGACCCGCCTGGGCAGGCGAGACCTCATCTCTACAATAAATCAAAAAATTAGCCGGTCGTGGTAGCGCGCGCCTGTAATTCCGGCTACTCGGAAGGCTGAGGCGGAAGGATCGCCGGAGCCCAGCAGGTCGAGGCTGCGGTGGCCGGGAGCGGCCACTGCACTCCAGTCTGGGTGACAGAGTGAGACTCCAACTCAAAAAAACAAAAAAAAGAATTTTAAATCTCTTATTTCTTTAAGACAAAAGGTGATCCTAGGTTTTTGGTTTGAATAACCGAGTGAATGGTAATACCATTTATTGAGATGGAAAAACTAAGGGAAAGTTGGGGGATCAGGAGTTCTGTTTTGACTGTGTTAAATTTGAGGTGCCAAGCAAACCTCATAGCAGAGATGTCAAATAGTTGTACGTCTGAAGTTCAGGGGAGAGGTTAGGACTGGAAACAAACACTTTGGCATTGTCAGTGTATAGATGATATTTATTTAAAACCTTAGGATGGAATGATATTACCAATAATCTTGGATAATATTTATTCAAAAGGACAATGACTCTCAACTGCTTGTTTAACTAAGGAATCCAACAGGGTCAGGAGTTTATAATACTCTTAAACATAATGGGAAGAAAAGAATATCCTGAAACTCTTGTGGCTTAAGTACTACATTTACTCCTTTCGGAATACAAAGGTTAATTTAAATATTACTTGAGCAGCAAATTATTAAATAAGACAACCAATATGAGTTGTACCTTTTCAAAATAGATAGATGTATTTTACAATCTCTAATGTGTGGGTATCCTAAAACTAATTTGTTCAGATAACCCTTCAAAGGACAGTTTTATAATAATAAGACATAATAAGATTATATATTTTCATGTAAGTCTCTACACTCGACAGGTAAGTAAGATGAGTTCTTCTTGTCATTCTGGGTTTTTTTTTTAGGGGGGATCAAGGAGCTGGCAGTTTAGTATACCCTGTTCAGTGACACATTTTGATGCTCCTTCACCATGATCAAAATGTGTGGTACAAGCTGTGTCAAAGTTCTACCCTTTCTGTAAGCTGACTAAGCAATTAGATGTGAAAGACAATGTAACCAAAATTATTCACTGTAAAGATACCAAATTTTGTCGATTATAAATTGCACATTTTTTTTTTCATATTTTAGCATGGTCTCTGAACTTGGGATCTGCCTTAGAATCAGTGGCCTGTCTAATTGACAGTATTTTTTCCTGTGTTTGTACTATGCAAAATTGTCATTATCACCTGCTAAGAGATTTCATGGCTTATAGTAGACAGATTATAGCTGTAAAAAATGATTCTAGGTCCAATTCTTGAGGAAGCGTTTGCTTTGGATAAATAGCCTAAATATAATACAACCTAGAAACTAAGGTTCGTATTTTTGACATATCTTAATTTAAATTAAGCTGTGAATGGCATATAGTAAATTTTGAATTTCTTTTGAGAGGGCTCTTTTTAAAAAAATTTTCGGCTGGGCTCAGTGGCTTAGCCTGTAATCCCACGCCTTGGGAGGCCGAGGTGAGTGAATTGCCTGAGCCCATGGGTTCGAGACCTGCCTGGGCAACTTGGCGAGACCTCCTCTCTACAATAAATCAAAAAAATTAGCCGGGCGTGGTAGTGCGCGCCTGTAGTTCCAGCTACTTGGAAGGCTGAGGGGGAAGGATCGCCGGAGCCCAACGGGTCAAGGCTGCAGTGGCCGAGAGCGACCACTGCACTCCAGTGTGGGCGACCAAGTGAGACTCCAAACCAAAAAAAAAAAAAAAAAATTTTTTTTCAGCGTAATACATCTGTAACTAACTACTTAAAACTAACCCAAGAAGGTATTGCTTACTAAAGGTCTTTTGAAAACTTGTTTGGACAAGTAGAAAAGAAGCGTTTGAAATAATATTATCAAGTATTTGCACATTCTATGGGGATAAAGTGTTAAGACTTTAAGAAAATATCTTTAAATTTTTTTATGCTGTAAAATTATTTTTTAAATTTTCTTGTGAAAAATTGCAACTCAACCTTGCTTCAATTTAAAATGTAAAATTATGAAGTCAGTTAATTGTTACTATCCCACTAATCTTCCTCCCCAAAAAGGAAACCTCCTTGGTACAAGATTAATTGATTGACATTTTGTTATTTTAATTTTTTAAGTAGTTAAAGGCCAGAGAGTGGTGACATCTAAGGATCGGGTTCAAGAAGGGACAGAAGTTCTGAAACTTAAAAATGGTAAGATACGGACACAGCACTCATAAATTGTCCTCTTTTCCCCTTTCCGTTTCCCAAATTCTGAAAGAAGTTAGTTCTGAAATACTGATTTGTCTTAAATAACTCCTCTAGGCTGGTAAAGAAAATGTCCCTAGACCTGCAGTGATCAAAAACAATACAATGGTGGAAGAAAACTGTATTCCTTTAAAATCTTCTAATGAACGAACCAATTCATCTGTAATAATTGATACATATAAATCTAAGAATAATAATCGAACTCTGCCAACCAAAGATGATCCCCAGAGTCAACATATGACATTAAACAAGGCATTTTACCTTAAAAAGAAAAGTATAAAGACACAGATGACTGCAGAAAAACCAAAACAAGATGCTACTGTGCCCAAGAAACCTGTACTTGGATTTTATCGTGGCCAAATTGTTCAGTCTAAGATTAATTCATTTAGAAAACCACTACAAGTCAAAGATGAGAATTCTGCAGCAACAAAGAAACATTCAGCTACTATCCCTAAAGCCACCAAGCCTCCCTATATAAACACCAGCAATATAACAGTGAAAAGTGATGGAGTCTCAAATATGACGGCTACTGCTACATTTGTGAGCACCACATCTCAGAACACACAACTTGTGCGACCTCCTATTAGAAGTCACAATGATACCCAGAACACCATGAAACAAGACATCAGAACCTCTGCCAATGTTACACTCCAGAAGGAGCCTCGTGAAAAAGAATTTTTACAATCAAAACCAGTTTTATCTGGTGTCAAAACCAGTTCTTCTCAGGACATAAAAAGAAATAAGGCACTATCAAGAAGCATAACATCTGAAATTGTAGCCAGGCCTGCTTCATATCCTAATACCAAACTGATAGAAAAATTCAAACCCATTGACCAGCAAAGATGTACTATAGTAAAAGTAACTGTTGATAGTAGATCAGCTCGGCCGAGAGAGACTGCAGAAGAGAGAAAGTAAGTAGATGTCATTTCCTTCATTTTTTTTCCCCTTAATTTTCAATATACTGTGTGTGGATTTGACTTGTAATTTTCTTGTATGTATTAAAATTTTCTCCATGATTTCTCTTCTGTCATATGCAGGCACAGTTATATTGTAAAACACTATGACCTAAAAGTTTTTGCATGTGAGTGTGTTTTATTAGGGTACTTTTAAAAATCTGCGTTAAATGCTTAATGATAATTGAGAAATAGTTTATAACCTCTCCATTTAGAAATGTATTCATGGAGTCTTTGAGCATATAATTGACCTTGATATGTTTAATACTTGTTTCTCTTCAGACTTGTGAACTATGTATATGCCACTAGTGTAGAACTACTTAAAGACCTGAAATATTTTTGAACTTTCCTCTATTTGACAGAGTTTTATCAGCAATATGAAAGTAATGTTTGTATACTGCTTCTAACTGTAGAACTTGTCTAAGTGAGTGGAAAACTGGCAAAGGGAGAGTGTTGAAAAGGCCTCCTCTCCCAATAGTTACCCAGTGTGAGTCTGAAGGACAAAATGAAAAACCAGTTGGGTCCTTTTGGACTACCATGGCCGAAGAAGATGAGCAAAGATTATTTACTGAAAAAGTACACAACACATTTTCTGAATGCCTGAAGCTGATCAATGAGGTAGTCTTTATATTTTTATAACATTTTATAGTTTGCAGATTACCTTCATTAACATTACCTCACTAGATTGTGTTGTCAATCTTTTTGGCCAAGTGATGTCAGTGATATTACGTTGACTTAACATTAACTGTGAGATTGTTTTCACAATTACTGAATTGTGAGATATACTGCTTCATTAATTTTGAGATTGTCAGTCTTTAATTTACTGCATTTTGCATTAAGTTGATATAAATATACAGATTGAATATCCCTTATCTAAAATGCATGGGACCAGAAGTGATTTAGAAGTTTTTTTGGACCTTGGAATATTTGCATATACATAATGAGATAGCTTGGGGATGGGACCCAAATCTAAACACGAAATTCATTTATGTATTATATACAGTTTATGCACATAGCCTAAAGGTAATTTTATACAATATCTTTAATAGTTTTGTGCATATGAATTGAAATTGGTATACCTTGAAACATCAGAAAGCAAAGGTATCCCTGAGTCAGCCACCCATGTTGACAATCTGGTTGTTTAGCATCACCGTCATTCTTGACTCTGAATTTAACATTACCAATAAGCGATCATTTTCTTAACGCTCATTCACACTTAAGTACTTAACAGTAAAAAAAAAAATTGACATGCCATTAATACAGTGAAAAACAGTGTTCAGGGTAACTAAGCAGCACAGCAGCATCACTAGAATGCCTGCATCACTTGTTACTCAACAACAGCAGGCTTTCAGTCTGTGTTTGTATTTAAAGGCTAATATATTTGTAGGTGAGAAGAAGGAGTTCAGGGACTAGGAAGTGGATCCTCTAGGGATGTGGAGGCATTCTGCTGGCTGGCTTTTTAAAATATTTTCTCCAGAATTACCTGCCTCATTAACAACAGTTTTTGTCTCTAGGAATCTCTTTAATTTTGTAAACCAACATGATTTCTCATTCTCTTATGAATATATGCTACTCTAGTCCTTCAATAAGCCCCATCGCCTTTTTCACCATGTCATATATAGGCACTTTTTCTGCCATTGCTAATGACGGTCATCTTTATTGTCATGATGCCACTCAAAAAGTTTTAGGTTTTAGAGCATTCCAAAATTAGATTTTGGATTTTCTTTTTTTGTAATTATTTTTTATTATTATTTTTATGTATTTATTTTAAGACGGGGTTTTGCTCTGTTGCCCAGGCCAGAATGCATAGCTCACTGCAGCTTCAAACTGACCTCAGGTAGTCCTCCCCTCTCAGCCTTCCAAAGTGCTGGATTACAGGCATGAACCACCACACCTGGCGGGGATTTGGGATTTCTCAAATGAAGGATGCTCAACTTAGTATCAAAGGAATAATTAGGTTTTTTTTGCCTGTGTTATAAATGCTATATTCCTCTATGATCTTAATATAGCATATGCTGGGATGGTATTTCACATCTAATACTTTGTTTCTTATATTTCTTCAATATATTTACAAATCATTTTTTCCACCCATTACATATTTTAAAACTAACAACACAAAAACTAACAATACAAATTACTATTCAAGTTACCTAAAATATTCTCAAACAAAATCTCATTTTTATCATGTCTTAAATTTATTGTGGAGCTTTGCTATTTGGACCAAAATCCTATGGCTTATAGACTCTAGAATATTTCCTTTATTTCCTGACTACTCTGTAATCTTGTTATGGCAACCCACTAATATCTAAGATCCGTAGCAAGACCAAATACAAGGTATTTCAAAACTTACACTACTCTTCATGAGCAGCTTTAAACCTTTTATGATTTTGAGGACCAGTGAAAATTACAATCAGGAAAACTCTAATTCTAATCTTATTTATTTTCAGTTGATTTTTTTTCTTTTGATACCATTGAATTTTCTGCCTTGCTATTTACTATATATAACTCTTATATAAACCATCAGATTCATTTTAACCTTAATAGCAAAACTCAACAAAGACTTAAGGGGAAAAAAAACCCCTCCAGCTATTCTTGCTTATAAACATTTGGTAGAAAGTATTAACAAATAGAGAAGATAAACATCAAGATCCAGTAAAGTGTTAGTCATTTTTTACTGACGTATTTTTTTTACTGATTTTTATTTTTTTTTACTGATAAATATCTCAGCTAATATTTTAGTTTTTGCTGCTATATGTTCAAGACTGATGATGTTTTTTTAGACATTCAAAGGAAGGTTGGAGTAAGGGAGATGAAACTAGGGAATGTTTTTATGAATATTTTTTCTATCAACTTTTTTTATCTTTGTCACTGATCTTTACTATAGTATGCTCAATTATTAATTGTTCATAATTTGTATGCTAAAAAAATCACACACATTATTTTTTCTTGTTTTAGGGATATCCAAAAGAAGAAATACTGACCACACTGAGCGACTTAATTAAAAATATTCCAGATGCCACAAAACTTGTTAAATATTGGATATGTCTTGCACGTATTGAACCAATCACAAGTCCTATTGAAAATATTATTGCAATCTATGAGAAGGCCATTTTGGCAGGGGCTCAGGTGAGATTAAAATTTACTGTTCTTTATTTTTTTCAAGTAAATTATTTATTTCAAAATCCACATCTTTGGAAGACTCTGCATTATTACATATTTGGTCCAGTTTTATATACTCCCTGGATACAAGAATTGATCATTGCAATGATAAACATTTAATGAGTACTTACTAGCAGCCAGGAATCAAGCAAAGGAGTGTGCTTTGTTTTTGGTACCTTTTGGCTAATCTCTCCAATTCCCCCACCCCAGTCTCTGACAACCACCATTTCACTCTGTGTCTATGACTTTGACTATTTTATGTTCCATATATAAGAGAGATCATATGGTATTTCTCTTCTGTGTCTGGCTTACTTCACTTAGCATAATGTCCTTCAAGGTCACCTATGTTGTTGCAAATGGCATGATTTTCTTTTAAGAGTAAATGATATTGCATTATGTATATGTGTGTGTGTGTATCACATTTTCTTAATCCAGTCATCTTTCTTTCTTTCTTTCTTTCTTTTTTGAGTTGGAGTCTCACTCTGTTGCCCAGACTGGAGTGCAGTGGCCGCTCCCGGCCACC